GTTCATATAATAAAAGGACTCGAGTCGTTCTCCTGTCAGATGTGGGCGCCCTGTCAGTATCCTAGTCCATCCTCTTCGGAGGTTAGGAAGTGGTCGATGGCCCACTTCCCTTAAAACCTAGCCATGAAAGATAACAGGTCCATAAGTTAAAAGCGCACTGCTCGATTGGCGTAGAGCATGAGCGCCACGCATTGTCTCTGAAGGTGGGAGGGCACCTCCGGGTGCTCAATAGTTTGCTACTGCCCGCCTCAAGCTAGACAGCCCCTGGTCAAATTGGTGCAAACCTGCCAAAACCCTCCTACGTCTGGCCGTGGTCGCAGGTGCGTATCCTACTACGGTCGCAAAACATATATAAAACGTTCCAGTACCTCAAAGGCTGCATGTGACGGCCGTCAAGCAGATCACAATCTGTCTCTGCAATCACATTCCCGAGCTGGATCTGCTCCCCACGGCCATGTGGGTCAGGCTATTCAGTCAAAGACTCCGGGTGGAGTTCCTCAAACAAACCTCCCAATTACGCACTGCCTTGTGTGTAAGGCTATTGAGCCAAAGGCTCCGGGTTGAGTCACTCAAGCAAACCGCCGAAACACATCCGCAACCTCGCGTGCGATTGCTCACCAATGCAATCGTATGTCTGCGCGCAACGCACTCAGCATCGGGTGCTCGAACGTGGGTACACTACCGGAATGGAAATAGAGTGAGAGTCCTGAGCGACGCACTGCACAGGTCGCAATGGAGCTGGCGCGCTACCACATCGATATTGCGGCGCTCAGTGAGACCCCACTTGCTGATAAAGTTGCATAAAGCAGGTGCTGGCTACACATTCTACTGGGTGGGTGACGCCACCTCAACACCACGTAAACATGGGGTCGGGTTTGCAATATCCCATCGCCTCTATGGCCAGTTCGTGGGTGAACCAGCGGGCATCAGCGCGCGACTGATGACTGTTCGCCTACGACTCGGAAGAGGTAAGTTTGCCACCATTATAAGCACGTACGGTCCGACCATGTGTTATCCTGATGACATGCGTGGTCAAATCCAAACGGTCTGGACCGAAGAGCGACCGACTATTTCTGCTGGGTGACTTCAACGCGCGGGTTGGAGGTGATCCATCGGTGTGGACAGCTGTCATCGGTCCGCATGGCATTGGTTCAGCGAATTCGAACGGTGACAAGTTGCTCCCACTGTATGCCACCCACGAACTGACGATCACGAACACTCGGTTTGCACTGAGTGCGAGTGATATAGCAACTTGGACTCACCCACGGAGTGGTCACGCTCACCTGCTCGACTATGTCATCGTACGTCAGCGTGATATGCGTGAAGTGCGCATGACACGTGTACTGCGTGGAGCTGAGTGTGACACTGATCACAAATTGATTCGGACCAAACTGTACATATATTTTCGTAAATCTATGTATTGCACTCCCGCCGCGAACCAGCGTACAGTCAACATTCCTTCGGTACTGAGGCAAAACGTATTAAGCTGGAGAAGGCGATGGCTGCACGCCTGTGTGATGTGGAATGCATAGCCACAGTGGGCGACCTGTGGCACCACATTCGAGACCAGGTGACAGCTGCTGCCGAGGAGACCATCGGGCGCGCAAACTGTAAGCGGCCTGATTGGTTTGATGAGAACAATGCGACGATTGGCGCATCGGTGTCGGAGAAGAATGCAGCATTTGCTGCGCATGTGGTAGACCCCAGTGACTTGGGGAAGAATAGTCAGTTCGGCAGAAATCGACGGCGACTGACTCGCGAGCTCCGTCGCATTAAAAGTGCATGGTGGACGGAGAAGGCGAAGCAGATGGAATGCTACGCCGAACGTCGCCAACATAAGGAATTCTTTGACTCTGAAGGCGATATATGGGTCGAGGTTGGTGCCGCTGAGGAGGCTGATCGACGGTAGTTCAGGCGCTACCTGCACACAGACTGCAGACATAATGCAGATCTGGCGAAATCACTTTGACTGTCTCTAGAACAACCGTTCAGAGATCGACTGACCTACATTGAACGGCCTCAAGCAGCACGATGTGAAGGCGAATCTGGCGGACACATCGACACTGGTTAAGATGCAGAGAGCACTTGCTCAGCTGCGAAACGGCAAGTGTATAGGGGCCGACGGGATCCCGCCTGAAGTATTGAAACACGGTGGACCTACGTTGATAACTGCGCTACATCACTCGGTGCAACGCATGTGGATTGAGGAGGAGGTGCCTCCTGAGCTGAAGGATGCCCTTGTGCTACCACTGCACAAAGGCAAAGGGAGCAAGCAATGTTGCACGAATTATCGTGGTATCAACTTGCTGAGTTGTGTGGGCAAGGTGATTGCCCGAATCCTGCTCAACCGCCTCGTCAGTCAGGTTGTGGAACCTAACGTGGCGGAAGAGCAGTGTGGATTCCGTTCGGGTCGCAGCACTATAGATATGGTGTTTGCGGCTCGTCAGTTGTAGGAGAAGTGTAGAGAACAACACCAGCCGTTGTACTCGCTTTTTGTTGATTTCACCAAGGCACTTGATACGGTGAACCGCGAGGCATTGTGGCTGGTGTTGGGTAAGTTTGGTTGCCCGCGTAAGTTTGTAAGTTTAATTGAATGTCTGCACAGTGGTATGCGGGCGAGCGTGCAACTGAGTGTAGAGACTTTGGATGACTTTGCAGTTGTCTCTGGTCTGAAGGAAGGCTGTGTCTTAGCGCCTGCCCTGTTTAATGTATATCTTCAAGCAATGTTGTCTTGTGCTTTTGATGCGGCTTGTGCTTACGGTGTTCGTGTGGAGCACAGTATTAATGGTGGGTTGCTGAACATCCGTCGTTTCGGTGCGAGAACCCTAGTCTGTGAGACAAGTATCAGTATGTTGCTGTTCGCCGAGGACTGTGTGTTGTTTGCACACTGCGCGGATGAGTTGCAGCACATGTCTAGTACTCTGGCTTCGACAACGGTCAAATTCGGGCTCACCATCAACACAAGCGAAACTGTCGGTCTCCTTCAGCCTTCACCGGAGATGCAGTCCACAATGGTGCCGCGAATCAGCATTGGTGCTGAAGGATTGTAAACCACCTCTCGCTTTTGTTACGTTGGGAGTGTGATTTCGATTCACTAGTAAATATAAAGTGAGCGACATATCCGCGTATCGAAGACAACAGCGACATTCGGGAAGCTAGAGTACCGAGTGTGGAACAACCATCAGCTTATCATTGGCCAATGGTGTACAAATCCCTGGTGCTGTCCGTTCTTCTATACGGCAGTGAAACGTAAACGATGTACCGGTGGGCTGTGCGATATCTCAAGCGGTTCCATAAACAGTGGCTCAGTCATGTGTGGTGTATGGATTCGACGCGGATAGCAAAGCAGCTATTATATGGTCAGTGTTGGGAAGCGGCATGTGAGGAAACCGAAGCTTCGTTACCAGGACATGATCGAAATGAGTCTATCACGTTCTAATGTTGATTGCAGGTCCTGGGAATCGAAGGCGGCTGATCGGCGTGCAAGGCGCGGTCTGATCATGAAGGCGGTTGCAGAGGAGTAGGAGAAAGCCCTAATGCATGTGGAGAAGCGGAGGCGCCGATAAGTTGTACTCCATCGACATCGATCGCATGGTGCTGGAGCACATGTGGTCGCGAGTGCCTGTCAGGCAGGCCTAGTGAGCCATGAGCGAAGCAACTCGGGGCCACTACAGAAACGAAGACCAGTTCTGTTGAGAAGGTAGACAGAACAGCGTTGGTAGGCACGCTGCATTCGATTTACTAACTGCGTGCTTGCATGCTGAGTCACTTTATTTCAGGTGGTGGGTTTGCTATATTGTCCTAATGCTTTTAGCATATTAATGTCTACCTGAACTGTCTTCTATTAACTTGCACACGTCGCTTAAGTTAAGTGTAGTTAAGTTCGATAACGTTTTCGCGTTTGTGACATTTTCTTGAAATATATTTTCTGACGTCTTGATCCTATCGCGGATTTGCTGGCAACCAATTTATTGCATATGCTCATATATTGAATAGTTATGTCAGCATATCTGTATGCATCATCCGATTTATTTTATTTGATATCGTCGTCCCAAGTGATTGGCTGTTGTTTGATAACCCAGGTGTGGCTGCGCTTGATGTGCATGTTGACAAGGTGCCTACCTGTCTATTACCCACTACCTTGTCCATACTGGCTCCAGAAGACAGTTGGTTATTGCTGGATGGGACCGGGTGCACGGTCCTTGTGGCCGTGTTAGGATCAAAGAGTGGTTCCATGCACTGAGTGTGCAGCGGACTACGGGTCCAGCCACCGCCTTGTGTGTGCTTGATTCCCCAAATACAGCGTGCTTGTGTTTGCCTGTGAAGGAGTGTGGGCCGGCTCCGTTGATGAAACGTGGCTCCCATCCACATGGCTATCGGTCTTATTCCTTCGGGTTTACACTGGATTTGAGGTGTGTGATTGGAGCTGTGGGTGGTGCAGCGCAAGCCATCCATGGTCCCTCTGTAGGCGCAGGCGTCCTGTAGCTGCCCTGCGGAGGCCAGAGCGACAGGCCAATCCGAAACCGGATGCTGCCAACCATGTATAAAACGAGTGTTTCATAGGATAGTATGTGTGTATTAGAACATTGTACGTAGAAGCAGTTCGGAGCTGGCTTTTGTAATAGTAACGGTGAACAGTCAACGTCAACAATGGTTTAACAGTATCATAGCACAAAGTACTCCGGTAACCGGTGTATCCTGCTATAAGTGCACAGGCAATAAGACTCGTTGGTGCTTAACGGGGCGAATACTATAACCTTCATAGGAAGAAATATGCGAGTGACACTGCCGAAATGGTTTTTGGAGTAGATCCCTCCCAACAATGTAGTTCCGATACTCGCCTCTTCGGACGCGGTCCAAGGAATCGAAATGGCGGTTTGCTTCACTAAAAGCCGTGCTCTAAAGTTAGATTGCACGTCGCAATCGAGACACGTGGCGGGTAATCCAAGACATAACAAGAATGACACTGCTGTGTTTATAGTGTATAACGAGAAACTTACCTTGTGCAGAGTATACAGCCGAATTTTGATCGCACTGCAGAACCGTGTAGTATGGACTGCACCGACCCTCGGTAGAAGGGTCTCCGTTTATGACTGCACCGACACTGGTGAGTTCCGACGAGCTAATAACAGACCAATAAAGGAAAATCGCCAATGATGAGACAATGTACAGTAATTGCTTTGTAGTTTATTCATCGCGGTACAGCTAGTGTATATATCACAACCCTATGGAAATAAGTGGCACATGGATTAATGGCGTTACAAAAAAGGAGAATCAGCAGGACGCCGGTACATCGTAAAGGCGCTCCGCTGCCACGCGACAACTAATATTTGTGTGCAGGCTAGGTGTATTGCGAAGTCGTCCGCATCTACACGGGCTCGAACCAGTAACCAGTACTTTATGAGTAAGACGTTTAACCAATAATCATCGGCCAGTATATACAATGATAACCTTGGGGAACAAAAAGTGTGCACGCTTGCAAATGGAGTTCATTAGAGTGTGTAGTAAGAGACCGAACCAATAAAGATAAAAACTTGAAAACCGGTCCAACGACAAATAAGCAGTGTGCTGGCGGACAACGCGGCAAGGTTCCGTGGATAATCATCGAACCGATGAGCTACACAAGTCCAAAAAGCAAATGTATGCCGAATGCCAGAGCATCTTCAGGATTTGCTATGGTACTCAAAGGCTGCAGCCTCGTAGGCTGGTTAGGATCATAGTCAAAAATGCATCAAAAGTACGCCGGTACTGCGTACCGGTGCTTCGCTGCCACGCAACCACCGTCAGTCGCGCATGGGCTAAAGATACTGCCATTCACCAGGTCCCCTACGCAGGCTCGAGACCGCGATCGCCGAATTACAAGGTAAGCTTGTGATCCTTAAGGCACAGGCAGGTTGGAAGGATTGTTAGTAATATCCTATAAGCGAAAATCTATCCAAATGTGATGAAGAAAACTTTTAACAACTCGGCCAATATTTAAGCAATCTATTTGTCAAGCAAGATTAAAAATTATGAAAGTTGCAGCGAAAGGTGTAATGTGACTGGCAGTGGAAGGATGGCTCACGTTAGGAATGACTAAAGTTAAAAAAGCAGGGACCTCTAAGTGTAGAAATTAACGCAAAAGAAGTTACGTAAAAGGCCAGATTTCGAACGGAAGCAGTTGTTTGCTAAACTTCAAAAGTATTTAGGTTCAGAGAAACAGTTGTATTGAGAATGGCATTGCCTCCACTAAAATGTGAAAGTGAAAAGGGAAAGTGAAAAGATAACCTGGAAAATAAATAGGGAAATAATAGGGGATGTAAAAAAGAAAACGGGGTTGAGACGTATAAAAAATGTAGAGATCCAAGATCTGTGCCATTTCATCCAAATATGATCAAAATAATAAAGAAACAAAAGTGCCTATGGCCTGTCAACACCTCGTTTTTCACGTCTTGATGTGAGTCGCAAAAAAACGAATAATTCATAGTAAATTGGAAATCACAAATGTGATAGCATTGGCAGTGGGTGAATGTTAGAGGAATGTAACACTTGAGAAATGCATATTAAACGATCGTTTGAACTACTGACCTGAAATTACATTCTCCACGCATCCCGGCTCTGTTCAAGACTTTCATACTCGCCATTGAACGCACAGAGATAAGGAACTCGCTTCGGATTTGGAACTACAAGCTTGTAATGGTGTCCGCGTGTGCAACAAGGTATTCACAGGTGGAGAAGTGGGATGGGGAGTCACCTAGATGTAGAATGCGGTAGGCCATGATCAGGTCGACTCGCACCGGACGATAGGCCAGTGTGTACAGTCCCAGACTCTCGAACCTGTCCTCGCACGGTAAGCCACGTAAACCGAGGAAGAGCCTGGTAGTGGCGTGTTGGACCAGTTCAATCTAGTGCACTTCGTCTCGAGTGGTCGGGTAGTAGGCAGTCGAGCCGTACCCTAGCATCGATTTGGTGATGGAGAAGAGGCGAGTCGTAATTTCTTCAGACCACAAGCAGAAGCGCCCAGAACATGTGCAACCCTGTTCGGTTTAGTTTATCTTTGCTGTCCATGGACTTCAAATCGCAACATGAGGGTAAGCAATCAGGTCTTTGCGAGTCTTATTGTGTTCGCTTAAGGCCGGAATGTGCCGGCGAGCATCAAGAAATTTCAGAGACTGCGTACGGACCCAATGTCCAATTTGGCGGTTTGATCTGCTACATGAAGACATTCTTGCTGCTAATAACGTATGGTGGATAAGCGAGCAGTGGTCTTCAAAGCTGTTCAGTAAGCGTTTACCCAATTCGTATGCCAGTACATTTTGATAATGCATTCAGGACATCTGGCTTCGCTAGTCAGCAAGTATCTAAGTGCTCACAGCGCTATTGAGGACGTCCGCAAAAACGTACCTGCACGACGACGTATACAAGTGCGTAGCCGGAGTCCATGCTCGTACTCCAAATTGAGCGGCAATTCTTGATGCAGCTCTCTATCGGTAACTGCTCGTGATGTCATCGATTCGCATCCGTGGCTAGTGGACACCATATCAACCTCCAGCGAGTGCTGGGTCGGAAGTTACCGCTTTCGAGAAATAGACGAGCATCTTCGCACAGGTGTGGCAAACGCTCACCGTTATCATTACGGGAGCCTACACCGTGTTGAGCACCCAGATGCAGCTCATCAGTGGACAATTTTCTAACTAGGGAGTTAAGATCGAAAGCAAGCAACACAGTCTTCGTACTTTTGGGTAACGAAGGAGCTCATTCAGTTGGTGATGGAATTCATCTTTGGCCGAATCAGTGCAACATTTTGTGGGGACGTACGCCGCAATAACAAACCGGCACAATTCGTCGCCGCGCCACGTCAAAACTTGGAACGAGCTAGTCAGTCTGACGGCGCACAACTGGTTGTTGACTACCATAAAGTCGACTGCCGCAGTTTCAGCTCAGGGACTCAGAGCAATGCCCACAACGGACTGACAAGCATATCAAAGCTGACCTCAATGTTGCTAAACATGGATTGTGATGTGGTCTATCATGGAGTACTTTCTTCGAATGGTGCAATCCGTATACAGCGGTTATCGCGGTCGGGAAAAGGTTTTAATCATCAAAATCATCATTAACATCACCATCATCATCATCAACAACAACAACAAAGATAACCACCACCACCACCACCAACAACAACAACAACAACAGTACATCAATCATTTGAACTGATGCTTCGCTGCCATAACCATGATGACCTAAGGAATAAAGAATAATTAGATAGAGATATGGGGGTTTACCTGAAAACCTTAATGCCATAAGCAAACATTCACGGTCAAAGCGCTTACACCTTGTGTTATCAACATACCGTCACAAACAGCTAGTTATCGTGCAAAGATAAGGCGGCATCGGTGAGACAGCTTCCTTGCGGCTTTCACTGCCCCGCGTCATAATCAGCCATTACCCCGCAGATAAATCAGCACCAAACACACTTTAAACAGGCAGTCCAACTAGGAGACGGCAGCGGACGTGCCATTGGTGTCGGTTGCGAGCCATGTCCTGTAAAGTATCGAGCCAAGCATAAGGCGAGTCACGTGGATTCCAGCCCGGAAAGTGAGACAGACCAACGGTACCCAGTTTGATCGTCAGTGATTTCAATGCACGCTGTCAATTTCTGTCCAACCCGAGCTTTGTGCCACCCTACACTTGACAGACTAAACAACGCCCTCCTAGGCAAGTGGTGATCAGACATAGGTAGCACGTGGAGGCAGATTATTGTGCAAAGTTTAATCGTGGCTTCTACTTTCTACAAACAATTACATACAAAACCACCAGTACGTAGCACGTGTCTAAGCGAACGCAACTAATTCACTGCTATCTGTTGCTCTACGCAGCTAGCATGCTTATCACTGCCTAGTACTCGCCTACGCACATCATCTTTGCGGACACGCTGGTGCCATCCGACACCAGCAATGCTTCGCAGATAACAATGATGATCTTCAGCCCGAAGGGGCCAAGTCTCACTACCATAGAGCAGGACGGCCCGCACGGTGGCCTTTCATACACAGGCTTTCAGACGAACTCCTTTTTGTCACCGAAAATGCCGCAGAGTTAAGAAGGCAGTTCTGGCTTTTGCAGTGCGTGAACTAACTTCAATTTCTGTGTTCATCATTGCTGATGCAGCTGCCAAGATAAGTGAATCGATCAAGCAGCTCGAGTTCGTCGGTATTAAGGATCAATGGGTCATTAAGTAGGTGGTGGCACTGCAACAACACTTTGCACTTTGAAAGCGAGAAGCGCATACCAAATAAATGAACCACTTCAGAGATGCTATTCAGAGTTGATTGTGCCGCTGCAATAGAATTAAAAAGCAAGACGACATCGTCCATATAATCAAGATCAACTAAGCTTTCACCAGAGAAAGGGTTTACAAGAATTTTTCTGAATCAGTCGCAAGTTGCCTTAAGGATCACAGGTCTGCGTTGTAGTCCGAAGGCGCGGGATCGATACTGCGCAGGAAACGGGCGACCATCGCAGTGTCCTTAGTCCCTGTGCGAGTGGTGGTGGTTGCGCAACAGCGGAGCCTCGATACTGCGTATCGACGTACCGCTGATGTCATTTTATCATGAAAAACTCTTTCCCGTCTCCTTATACTTTTCTGCGGCAGTTAATATAATAATAATAAATAAGAAGGTGTCAGCTGTACGCCGTGACGGCGCTTCGCTGCCGCGCGACCACCACCAGTGTTGCTATTTAGGCCGACGCGTTGAGTTTCGCGATTCGGCATGTGATTTGAAAGCGTCAAAGTCTGAAGTAGTGACGGGACTAGACGGATAGTGCCAGTTTTTCACGGTCACAGAACAGCTACTCGGAATGGTTGATCGGTTTGCTCCTTTAGGTAGTTAACTTATTAGTATGATGGTATCACCGTGTGTGTGATCCCAGTAAGAGTGAGCTCGTTCGTGCAAACTATGGTGGAACCTCCGAAGTTGACCATCTCTCTAAGCTGACCGTCTTTCATATCTTGAACGTTCACCATGAAATCCTTATGGTACTATACATCTGTACGTCGACCAGGACTAAAAGTTAGATGTTTAACCAGTTAGGTCATAACAGTCATCATTAATTTCTATAAACTGACCATGTGAAGTTTGCTGCGCAATGGTCGTCGAACGATCGATTGTTCAAATACTAATATGCACGTAGAGGATTTTGTAGTGTGCGAAGTTCTCTTGACTCACAATCACTGAACTTTACAGCTCCGCAGACGTTTGACGAGACGGCATGTTCTCTGTCTGAGTACGGGCGTGTATAATTTTGTTCCACCACCCCCACCAATGTTCACCTCGTACAAGGTGTCTCCACAGATCGGCGTCCAGGAGCTGAAGTCGTCCTTTTGTGTGAAATCTTCCCTCAAATAAGCACGTATCGTGCCCAACGTTTGGAACATGTACCCGTGCATTGCACAGGTTGTATCCAGGAAGTTGAGTGTCTGTTTAACCGTCGGTTAACCGGTACTAAGCTAACTGGTTAACATCCCCTGATTAGTCTTTTAAATGGTGGCGACATTGACATTTACGTCATTTTATGGAAAGCTGCAGTCCAAGAGAGATGACAGATTATTTTTGTGTTAACAGGAAACAGTTAGAAAAATTTAATAGCGTAAGCATGGGTACATGGAGAGATATGGTAGTGAACTTTATCTACTGCAGGAATGTCCAAAGCCTGACCCGCGGGCCAAATGCGGCATTTACATTTCAACTGGCCAGCGGCCTCACCATGAAATAATAAATTCAGGCTTGGATTCTTTTCGTACATGCGTAATTTTCCTTAATAGCTTAATGTCAAACTGAATATGTCCAGACCGATTTGTACCTCACAAAATGTGGTCCTCCTTGCAGAAAGTGTGGACACCCCTGATCTATCGCGCCCATCAATGCTTTAGATACGGTGCTTCGGATAAGTTACGCTTGGTAAAGTTTAATAAGAAACAATAAAAAGTGCTTCAAGAAAGCTACATCTGTTCAAACTCTCGAGCAAGACGCTGCTGACTTATTATACATTCCATCTCCCATGGCAAAATTCGAGAAAATTGATTTTTAAGACTTTTAAGACTTTGTTGAAATGGAAGATAGCTTGGCATCCTGCGCTGAACCAGACTCAGATGCTATTTCCAAAGATACTTACTGCGGCACACCCGTAAGGAAACAAAAAAGAAAAGCCTGAGGAGAAATAACTAAATGAAGATGATATGGAAACCATAGAAGCTCCAAAAGATGATGGTGTCCAAGCATGCTGCAGTGAGTTTACACTGAGAGCGCTTCTTCCAGTCATGCTCCTGACCAGAGAAAGAAACGGACAAAGGACTTTTGCCTCAAAAAATGACTTAGCTAATAGGAAGACACATTACGTCTTGAGTTAGTATAACACTATAAGACTGAACTGCGTTTTCCGTTATGTAAGAGGTCATCTAGTATATTCGGAACAGGGTGCACGTGAAAATAAATTTTATACTTTAATACTCACAATGGGAAAGTGAGATGCGCTGTTTTTGTGTGGGACCTCATACGTTGAACCTCTATGTTGACCACCTTGGTCCAGTACCTTGAGCGGTCGACTTAGGGTTTTACTGCAATACCAACCAAAAGCAGAATTCAATGGGTCGACGCAGAAGTGTTTTCGATTAGCTACTGAAACGGGTGCAAGTAGTGTAAAAAGCAACGAGTTTGTAGTCATCCCAGGAATTTTTACTTCGGGAGAGAGCAGTTGCCGAATATTAAAACAGAACTAATCAGACCAATGAGGAGATAGGTCACATTTCACCTGATTGTGGATACTCTTGGAATGACTTGGTCCTTCGTGTGCACATCCTCGGCTCAAATTGTCCTCTTATTGACAAAATGAGTTTTCTCGGTAGACTTTACTGTCGGACAGTAAAGGAGCAAATTGTGAAGTACAGATGTTTTAAGGTCTCGGTCACTTATAGAGACAGTTGGATGTCATCAAACACACAAAGTAACCGTGCGCCTAGTATTACTTTAAGGATAAAAGTTGTGATCACTGAACGCAAAAGCAGTAACAGATCGGACATGTTTAAGCACAGATGTCCACGTGATATCGCTTATATCCAGTGTAAGCATCGTGCGGCACCCTAGCTGAAGTGTTTTCCGTCTCTAGTTGATGTGTATAATGACGATGATGATGTGAACATAGAGTGAGTAATATTGGAGCACGTCATTTGGTGTTTGGCAACAGGAACACTGGTGCTCCATTGCGGTCGAATAGGCCATGGTTGCACGCCTGCCACCTAGATGGTGTTGTTCAACAATACAGCGTTTAGTTGCGTCAAAACCCGGATAACGTTGGTCAGTAACGTTGCAGAAAAGCATGTGGTAACTCACCGACAGGGTAAGCGGTGTTGGTGCCTGTCACTTCCACGGATAGGGGACTCATGGTCAGCTACATCAGTAGCCTTGCAACCAGTCGGAGTCCGGCTGGGATCAAGGCTGAAACGCTGCGTACTCGCAGGGTCAAACGGAAGATAGCTCTGAGAAAAACCGACAAGGTTATTTTCGTTTGATCCCAATCCGTTAGATGCCTGAAAGAAAAAATTGTCGAAATTTGTCATACAGACTAGTGAAAATTGTCACAGCCGAGAACTTCCGGTCGTCAGCGTGTATGACACAGAGAAGTACAACACTGCAGAGCGATACATGTCTACTATTCCATTTCCGCACCCAAGTCCATCGCTTCGATGAAGTAATCAGTGAATGAATGTTGAGAAACGAAGCCTGATGTCAAAACCGAAAGCAGCGATTGCTATCAATCAAAAAGTAGTTACTTTATTTTCATCGAACAAGTTGGAGAATCCTAGAAACAATGAGAAGACACAAATTAACGGGAAGCTGAGAATTAACAGGACGCGAAGAAAAAGCACAAGGGGAGCAGTCCCGATCAATAAGCAACATGAAGTGAATAAAAAAACAAGTGCATGACGCATCAAAAGAATCCTCAAAAATCGAGAAAATAACGTTTCAAGCATTGAGTTTTAATAGTATAGCCGGATGAGTCACATATTTTGGTACACACCTTCAACCTTCAATATGTAGTGTGTTCGGACCACTTGTCCTTAACATCATCATCACTGCTAAGCACTCGAACAAACGTATCATTGTTGTGGACAAGCTGGTGTCATCCGACATCAGCAAGGCTTCGCAGACAACGAGGATCGTAGACTAGATGGCGCCGCAGATCGCCGGATGAAAGGGACCAGTCTCATTACCATAGAGTAGGGCGGCCTTCACCGCAGCCTTGTAAACAGTCTCTCCGACCAAGTGAAACCCACTTCTGATGCAACAGATGTCGCAGATCCGAGAAGACAGTTCCAGCCCCAGCAGTATGTGAACTGACTTTAGTGTTTATGCGCCTATCGCTGCTGATGCAGCTGCCAAGGTAATTAAAATTGGTCAACTACTTCGAGTTTCTCCCTATCAAGGGTCCATGGGTCATCAAGTGACTAGTGGTCCTGTAACAACACTTAGCACTTTGAAGGTGCGAAGCGCTTGCCAAATAATTGGACCACTCTAGTGAGGTTATCCAGAGTTGATACGGCCGCCCCAACATAGTTAAACAGTAAGATAATATCGTCCGCATAATCAGGATCAACTAGTTTTCCACCAAACAGTACGTAACGGCCGTTTTGTGCGATTCCGCAAGGGAACAATCCATGATAGAGTTCTAGACGAAGTGGAACGAAAAATGTGATATTTGATAACCCTGACGGACGCCACTAGTTGTCGGAAAAACATACGAAAAGTCATCGTAGACCCTGACGCAGCATGTGGTGCTCGAATACAGAGCACAAGTACCTCGAATAGAACGGTTCGATCAAGTCGAACGCAGCTAGTCGGTCTACGGTACGTGTGGGTCTGTTTCAGCACCTGACACAGAGTGAATATATGGTATATACAGCCCCGTTCTGGAAGGAAACCTGACTGCTCTTCCATAATCCGGGATTGCCACACTACATTGAGGCGAAGAAGGAAAATTGAGGTTAGTAATTACTTAACCAAATGTGTTAGGCTAACACTTCGGTGGTTGGCACAGTCAGTGCAACTGCCCTTATTAGATATTACTACTATAATCGATTCACTCCAGTCAGTCGGGATGGCATCCTCCTTTCAGATGTGTCCGAACAGAGAGGTCAGTGCTCTGCAATTGACCTCACCACCACCCATAAATATTACTGGTGCAATGGAATCCGGACCAGAAGCTCGAAAACCATCAGAGCTGTGATCGCATTTAGGGGTTCAGCCTCCGACGAGGCCTCTAAACCAACCTTCCATGGCTCATCCTGCATCAGTTGAGTAGGAAGAGGTCCAGGAGCAGGGGGTCAACTTAACTGCTCTCGAAAGTGCTCCACCCAACGAGCCATACGGAGCTCCATATTGTGAATCAGGGCACCCGTAGTGTCCGATTGTCTCCGTAACGTCTAGTTTCCTAAGGCCAGTGAGACGAATCATCTGGAAGAGCTTGTGATAATTGCTTACTGGCCTAGTGTCCTCCATTTCCTAAGCCCTACTGGTCCACCAGGCTTTCTTGTCAGCATAGAGGCTCCATTTCAGTTGACGCCTAATAGTCCGTCTGATTACATTGTGCTCAAAACCAGTCCGGACTTTTCTTCTGGACTTCAAGAAGTTCGCCGAGACCTCTGATATCTAGTGACCGGCGCGAGAACGACTGATAATGCCACAAGCAGAGGCTGCCGCGTTATGCGTGGCGGCCGAGATCCTATTCCGCAGAAGCTCACCGTCGTAAGGGCAAGCGATTGAAAGTTTGGTACGCAATGCATCCTGGTAAACTTGCCCATCCTCAGCCTTCATACAGTTGACGGAAAAGAGCTGGAGGTGTTGATGCTTGCATTGGACATCATGGTGCGGACAAAAGTTAGCTAACATGATGAAAAATGTAGGACTGTATTATTCGAGTAGCGCCTCTTTTAGTGTCATATGAAAACTTACAATTCCTATAGATCGTGGGTAAATGACTCTAAGTAGTGAGATAGCATTTACACTGTGATGGCCTTAGGTGAGGTCGGGTATTTGGTCAGAGTTAAGTAGGGACTACAAGTGGTATCGAGTGGTGCTGCACTCGCAGACGTAGATAGATAAACGAATACGAGGTTGTGATTAGCAGCACACATCGTTATACAGGAAACAAAAACTGAAAAGTCAACATAGCTCAGTGCGTTTCTACATATGAAAGCCCACCAAAGAATTCGATTAAAATGTCCGATCTACAGCGATGACCAAATTGACCTGGTAAAGAGAAAAGCATCCGTTGGCTACCAGTCCACCGTACCATATAGGTTGGGTACAACGCGGCCAATTCCTGGCATGGCATTCATAAACACCAACAATAGCGGTATGCTAGTACCACAAACTTATTTCGCATTACCATGCAATCAAGATGACCAATGGATGGAGGAATTAAAAGGGGAGAGGATGGAACTTAAGAGGGAGATTGCACGTCCGAAGCGAAAATTCAGAATTTAGGTGCGTATAGCTCATTAATGGCGTAATGTCGCAGAAAGAAGACTATAGTGAGAAGATGACGTAACTTTCACAGCATATGACAAAAGCGGATAACTCGCCATTAAGGTTTCAGACAAGCTGGCACCCCCCGACTCCAGCAATTCTCCAAAGACAAAGATTATGGACGTCTATGACCGAAGGGGTCAAATTCCACCCCACCCCGAAATGCAAATGCCCGTTGGCTTAGACACGTGCTACCTATGTCTGATCACCACTTACCTAGGAAGGCGTTGTTTAGTCTATCAGGTGTAGGGTGGCGCAAATATCGAGGTGGAAAAAAATTGACAGCGTGCATTGAAGTCACTGACGATCAAACAGGGTACCGTTGGTCTGTCTCACCTTCTGGGTTGGAGTCCACGCGACCCGCCCTGTGCTTGGCTCGATACTTTACAGGACATGGCTCACAACCGACACCAATGGCGCGTCCGCTGCCGTCTCCTAGTTGGACTGCCTGTTTAAAGTGTCTTTGGTGCTGATTTACCTGCGGGGTAATGGCTGATTATGACGCGGGGCAGTGAAAGCCGCAAGGAAGCTGTCTCACCGATGCCGCCTTATCTTTGCACGATAACTAGCTGTTTGTGACGGTATGTTGATAACACAAGGTGTAAGCGCTTTGACCGTGAATGTTTGCTTATGGCATTAAGGTTTTCAAGTAAGTCCCCCATATCTCCCATTAATTATTCTTTATTCCTTAGGTCATCATGGTTGTATGACAGTGATCAGATCAAATGACTTAGGTACTGCTGTTGTTGATGATTGATGGTGACAGACTGAAAAACTAGGCAATCGCAATGAATCTAACGTGCCATCGTAGACACGTCCGACAAGTAAATGTGGATTTTGAAGCGACTTATGCACTTCGAGTACTATGCAAGTGGAATCCTCGCAAGTACGGCAAACAGAACGATGTTTTCGACCAAGTCGAACGCACTCACAAAGTTTAGGAGCACATGGGTATTGTCAGTACGCGTTCGTGTGGCACTTATCAAGTATCTGCCGTAGGGTAAAAAAAAGATAATCTACTCAGTGGCGGTCTGGAAGGAGACCGGTCTGAACATTCCTTATCTGGGATTCTCGTTCCGCCGCAGGCTAATAACGGCGTGGACAGCACTAACAGCGCAACTGCAATTAGCGCATGTCAGCACTATGGTTGACTCACCGTAATGTAACTAAGCGGTATCACTCTTCTGTAAGCTCATGAACAGGTGGGCCATTGCTCTGCAGAAGACCTCATTACCAACTGTGCATAGCTCGAGTGCAAGATAATCCGGACCTGAAGCGCAAAAATGATTGAGAGCAAAAATGGCATCTCTGGTGGACCCTCTAAAGTAACCAGCCGTCTCTACCTGCACCAGAGAAAAAAGACTTTTAAGAGCAGAGAGTTAACTCAACTGTTCCCGAAGATGCCCTCTATATTTAAACGGCTATTTACCCCATAGTAAATCAGTATGCTTGTCATCCGTAGGTGCGGGCGATGTGCCGGCGTATCGTTGATGCCTCATGAAAATATTGAAGGGCGGCGACAGCTTGCCGCAAGCCCTCACTCAGACTGAGTCATGCGTATAGCGCTCTGATATTTTTTACATATTTTTCGTGCAGTTTTTGTGAGCAGACGGTCTCAAAGGGCACATTGATCAACTAAATCGAAGGCAACTTTGATGTCGTGGAACAGGATAACGGTGGGCCGCAAATATATGTCACGGTGTTCCAACCCGGCTTGCTCTTCACGAATCCGTCGCAACGAGATTGGACCTTAACGTGGTGCGACGGTTTGCGTACCCCGTTGACCCATTGAGCTATACTGTGTGGTGCCTCCGAGCCCACTGAAAGCTACTCATACCAGATTGGTCAAGGGTTAAAGGTCAGACAAACTCAGTCTCCTAGTCCTCCATGTTGGGGTTTGAAATGGGATGGCGCCCATTTCTGCAAAACGAAATCATTTGCACACCTCCGTTGCCTTGCGGACAGGCGTTTGAGCCAAAGGCTTTGGTTGAGGACCCTAATC